GGGGGGCTCAGGGTGGGGGGAGGGGCGCACCCGGTACCTGCCACCGCCGATTTGGGGGGGTTTTGCCTCAAATTTGAGGCTTCCTCGCCCCTTGCTCGCTCCTACACTTACTCATTTTGGGGACAAAAGTCTAAATTTAACCATTCCTGCTGCTGGTTTTGGAGAAAAAACCTGAAAACATGATTATTGTCCCCTCCCCCCACGCCTGCTCCAGCCCCTCCCTCCGTGGGGTTTTTGGGGGGATTTTACGTTTCTTTTTTTCCTAAGGAAAGCTCCCGGAGCCACCTTCCTGCTCTTCCAGCTTCACTTTTGGGGCAAAAAAGCTTCTTTTTGATGCTGCTGACTCCTCTCACTTGCGGCTGCGGAAAGGGCGGAAAACACCCCAAAACCGCCCCCTTCCCACCAAAAACCGACCTCCCCAAAAAATGAAATTAAATCGACTCTTACTTCTCTGCATTCCCCAGATCTGGGGGTTTTCTCCTCAAATCCCTGCCGGAATGTCCTGAGCGCGTTTTGAGTGCAGACTGGCCTTTTTTTGGTTAAATCCTCTCTTTTTTTTTTCCCTTTCCTCGGCTTTTTCTCACCGTTTTTTTGCCTTTTTTTTTCCCTGCGTTTTGCTGCTTCCCTGAGGGGGAAAAAAACTCGAGACACCCCCTCCCTCTTTCCCCACCCCCCCCCAAAAAAAATACAAAACATTTCTTTGATCATTTCTCTCCCTTTTTTTTTTTTTATCACCGGCCCCTCCCGCGCGACGCCTTCGGGTTAAAAACAAAAGATTTTGGACACTTACTGAGCGGCGCCGGCGGGAGCGGCGGAGCCGGAGGGCGCTGGAGGAATTTGGGGGGTTTTCCCCATTTCTGGGGAGTTTAATAGAAAAAGGGGGAAGGGGGAGGGGCGACGGCGGCGGCGCCTGAAACGACAGAACCCCAAAACCCCCCAAATCCCCCCAAAATTCCCAAACCCCCGGTGGGGGTGGGGCCTCACCCGGCCGCTCTCTCCGGCTCCGTTTGGGGCATTTTCCTCAAATTCCTCAATTTTCCCGGCTCCGGGGCCCAAATCGGGATTTTTCTTCCTTTTTCTCTCCCTTTATCCTTCTTTTTTTTCATTATTTTTCGCTTCTATTTTCTCCTCTAAATCCTCTTTGATTTTCTCTCATTTTTCCTCTCTTCTATTATCTTCTATTTTCTCTCTTCTGATTTTTCCCTGTTTTCTTTCACTTCCATCTTCTCAAATTTTCAGCACTTGCGTTTTTCTTTTTTTTTCCTATAATTTTCTATTTTCTTTTTTCTAGTTTCATTTTTCCCAATTGTATTTTTTCTATTTATTTACAGTCTATTTTCATTTTTTCAATTATTTTTTCTATATTCTTCTATTTGTTCGATTTTCATTTTTCTAATTTCTTCTATTTTCTCAAATTTTCTAATTTTTTTCTAGTTTCTTCTATTCTCCAATTTTCTTCTCTTTTTTTTCTATTTTTTCACATTTTTTCTATGATTTTCAATTTTCTTTTTTCCAATTTTCTATTTTTTCAATTTTCTGTTTTCTTTTTTCTAAGGTTTTTCTATTTTCTTTTTTTTTTTTCCTGATTTTCTTCTATTTTCTCTCTCTTTTATGTTCTATTTTCTGTCTTTCTCTCCTTGTTCTCCTCTCTTCTCTCTGCTCCTCCCCTGCCCAACTGCCGCCATTTTACCAAAAAGTCCTTTTTTTCCCCCCAGATGGGGTCACTGCGAAGAAAAACTTTCCTCTCCCTGCCGACTCCATCTTCACTCTTCAGTTTTCCTGCTCTTCCCTCAAAATTGGCTCCTCTCAATCCATCCTGAGCCTGAAAATGCCGCATTTCACCCCAAACCGGCCGCCCCCGCCTGCGCTGCCCGGCCCGGCCCCACTTGGGGACAAAACTACATTTTTTAAAAGCTTTAGGAGCTTTTAAAAAAAATTTAAATTTATGAGCTTTTTTAGCAGAAAACAGCGAATCAAGCGCTTTTTCTTTCTTGGAATTAAAGAAGCTTAAAAAGCTCTTTTTAAATTAAAATCGCCCCAGCTCGCTCCGGCTTTTCGAAAATATCACATTAGGATATTTTAAGAATTAAAGAGCTGCGAGAGCTGCCTCTTCTCCCAGAAATCGGCTTTGAAAGCAGCGATTTCTTAAAAACCAGCATTAGAAGCCTCGGTTTAAATGAAAACCAGCTTTAAGAGCTTTTTAAAGGTTTTTCATTCATTTTTTTCAATTAAAAGTGCCCCGGCTCGCCCTGGCTTTTCCCATTACTGGAATCGCCGCAGTTTAAGGATTTATGTTGAAAGAAAGCAGCTTTAAGAGCTCAGTTTTCCTTAAAGGAAACAGCTTTTGTCTCTTTTCTTTAAATAAATATTTAAGAGCCGCTTTTATGAAATCAAGCAGTCTTAGGAGCTCTTTCTATAAAATATCGCAGCTTTAAGAGCTTTTGGTAGGCAATAAAGCCATTTTTTGAGCTCTCGGTAGGAAATAAAGCCATTTTAGGAGCTTTTTGTATAAAATCGAGCAGCTCTAAGCGCTTTTGGGCCGAATTCGGGCCGTTTCGGGGCTGGTTCTCGGCCGGGCGCTGCCGGCGCGGGGCCCTCCCTTATAAGCGGCCCGGCGCCGCCCCCGCGGGGGCGACAAAATAGTCCCTAAAATCACCAAAAAAGGGCAGCAACCCCCAAAATTCCCCCCCCAAATCCACCACCCGCAGTGTGAAAAAGCTTATTTTTTCATTTTTTCACATTTTTTACTCCTTTCTTTGATTTTTTCCCCTCCCAAACCGCGTCACCCCCTCCCCCCACAGCCGTGGGCCTCCGGCCGCCCCACGCGGTCCAGCACGAAAATGGTTAAATCTAACAGCGACTTTTTTGTTCGGTTTGGCCAATTCTGCCCTAAAATCCCTCGCTTCGACCTTCCCGGGTGGTTCTGGAGGGTTTTTTGGTGTTTATTCATTCATTTTACTCTGGTTTTTGCTTTTGCTGCGTCACGGAGCTGGGCCGCTGCCAAAAAGGCGCCGTTTCTCCTCAAAAGGGTGACAAATCTTGGGGGGAAAAAAAGTTCTTGAGGGAACACAGACCCCAAAGCCCAAATTTTCACCAGTTTTTGTTCCCCAAAAAGCCCAAACGACACTTTTAAAACCTTTTTTCCCACCCTGATACAGCACAGCTCTAACCACCATTTTCTTTTTTTTTTACGACAGAAATGCATCAAAATCTCCATCTTTCTCCCCATTTCAGGCCATGCCGAGTCATGGAAGTCCCTGTTTACAAAAAGGGGAATAAACCCCCACTATTCTGAGGGATTTAAAGGCTTTTAAAAGACATTTTACAGCCCTTTTTTGACATTTTGAGGCGTTTCCGGGCAGGAAATGACACCCCAAAAGTGCTGGCAGGGAGGGGACAACCCTGTCCCCCACCTTTTAATTATCATTCATTAAAGCTGCTCTGGGGCTAATTAAAGGTGCTGATGAAACCGATGAGGCATTTTGGGGGTGTGGAAGGAGCTGTTCCAACATTTTTGGGGCGTTTCCTGAAAGAGAAAATATTTCCTTATTGTTATGAATTATTTTCTGGGTTATTCCACCATTAAGGCTCTCAAATGTAATCTTTTTCTTCCCATTTCAGGTGCTGGAAAAGGCCTCCCCTAAAAATACCCCGATTTTAGGGAAGGTTTATCTTAACGGTAATTTTACCAACAATAATTCATCCATTTGCAGATGTTTTAAGCCCTAATTTAAACTTTTAAATAATTTTAGCAACTCAGACATGTCCGATGTTCACGTTTTCTGCATGAAAATACTCCAAAAGCTGCTTTTGGCTCAGGAGCTGAGCCTGGAGAGGCCATTTTAAAACATTTTCCTCTAGAAAGATGCTCTATTTTTTAGGGAAAAAATAGAATAAAAAAAATCAGTTTTAGACTTTTTTTAAAGCTAGGATAGCACAAAATCTTCTCAAGAGCCTCAACAGCACTTTAAGGTGAGTTTAAGCCATTTTGCGGGCACAGGACACAGGTTTTGCCTTCAAAAATCACCACTAAGCCAAACCCTGCAGCTTTTCAGCTGCTTTTTAAGCCCAAATGGCCGCTTTTAAACCCCAAGTAGGAGGCTGCCCCTCCAGTCTCCCTAGCCCCCTTTCTTAATGGGTTTTTGGGGCAAAATCAACTCAATTCTTCACTCTAAGCCCACCATTTCTTTAAGGCTTCCCAGCATTTTAAAACCCGACCCTTTTTAGCGACTTTTCTCACAAAAATTACCTCACGAAAAGGGGAGCGTGCATGGGGGGAACTTCATCGCGTCCCCTCCTCGGCGGGGCCCCTCAAACCGCCGCTAAATGGGCACAGACCCCCTCCCCCCGCTCGCTCCCCTCCCCCACAGCCCCGACTTTCCTTCCGCCCCTCCCCCACGCCCATTTACAGGCAAAAAAAAAAAAGAGATTTGGGGGCGGGAGCGGCCGCGAAAGGATCCGGCGGAGGGATCCGAGGTGAATCGACACGGCCATGTGAGGGGCGGAAGGATCCGCGCGCGGAGGGATCCGAGAGTGAGGCGTCATGGGCGGGTCCACACGGAGACCCCGCCCCTCATCGGGCCCCTCCCTTGGTTTTGCCGCAGTCGCCGCGGGGGCGGCGCCGGGGGCGGGAGCGCGGCGTGCGGCGCTCCGTGCGCTCCGCATTGGGCGGGGAGAGCGGCGAGTCACCTCCACCGCGTCCGGAGAGGGTGAACGGGTAAAAAAAATCACCCATTTGTCCTTGGTTTTACCTCAGAAAAGCCCGAGTTCCTTCAGGAAAATGTCATTTGCCTCAGAAATGACCAAGTTCCGTCAGAAAATGACCGATTTCCCTGGGAAAATCTCCGGTTTGCCTCAGGAACGTCTGATTTTACCTCATCAATGTTTCATTTCCCTCTGAGACGTCTGGTTTGTCTCAAATAGGTTTGATTTCCCTCAAGAAGTGTCCGATTTGCCTGAGAAATGTCCTATTTGCATAGAAAATGTCTTATTTCGCTCAGAAATGTCCGATTTGTATCAAAAATGCTTCATTTAGCTCAAAAACTTCCCCATTTGCCTCAAAAATGTTTTATTTCCCTCAGAAATGTAAAGTTTTACCTCAGAAATGTCTTATTTTCCTCAGAAAATCTTTTATTCATCCATAACCTGCTCCCCCCCAAAATGGCGCCTCCCCACAGGAACAGTGAGGTGGGGGGGGAGACCCGTGTCCTTCACAATTTCCCTCAAGTAACATTTATTCCAAAACATTTATTTATCCTATCAAATACTTATATTTTGTTCATTTTTTAGTTTGTAAATTTTGGATTTCAGAGCAGTTCCTCTGTTCTTTAGGCATCGGTAACACCGACCCCTCCCACAGCACAAAACTCTCACCAGTTCTCCCTTAAAAAATCCTTACGTTTCTAAAAAGCACCTTAAGAAAATGAAATTATTCGGGACTGAGACGGTTTTGCCACAGAGTGGAGGCGTGTGGGGTTTATGGGTAGAAAATGCGATATTTTGTATAAACGCAGCCCTGCTGGGTGGGAAAGGTGGGGAAAATGGAGTTAAATAGTGAAATAAGGGGATTTTGGGTGTGTGTGTGAAGGTCCCAAATGGACAATGAGTGATGCCCCAAAATCAGCAGGACTTCCCCCAAAATGTTGGAATTTGTCCCAAAGATCTCGTTAGTGCTAATGAGAGGGAGAAGCCCCCCCAACACAGAAGCCCCTGGCAGAGGTGACACGTGTGACAAGGGTGACAAGAGTGTGTCCCTAAGTCCCCAGCCCGAAATGGCCGCTGTCACGTGGGGCCACCATTTGGCTACGTTGGCCACAAACCCCCCGGAATTGGCCCCAAACCCCCTAGAACTGGCCCCAAACTGCTGCGGCTCATCCCAAACCCCCCTGAATGGACCCCAAGCCGACTGGAATGGGCCCCAAACCCCACAGAACTGGCCCCAAAATGTCCCGACTCCACTGAAAGTGGCCTCAGACCCCCAGGAACTGGCTGGAAAATGCCCTGCATGATCCAAAATCAGCCCCAAATATCCCAAACTGGCTCAAAACTGCCAGGAATTAGCCCCAAACACACCAAATGAGTCGCAAACCACCCTGAATGAGCTTTGATCTGCCCCAAAACCACCCAGAATCCTCCCCAAACTGGTACCAAACTGCCTCAAACTGCTCTGGATTAGCCCCAAATCGACCCCGATTTGCCCCAAATTCCACCAAAACCTGCCTGGGCTGAGAGGGCGGGGGGAGGCAGTGCAGTTTATTGGGGGGTGTGGGTACAAAGAGGGGGAGGTCTTGGGGGCTCCCAGCCTGAACTGGGAGGGGTTTGGGGGGCTCGGGGGGGCTCAGCCCTGCTCGGAGCCGGCCCCCCCTGTGCCCCCCTGTGCCACGGGGCTGTAGGAGTCCCCCAGACCACCGTGTACCCCATGTCCCCTGCTTGTCATATTCCCCCCAAGGTCCCTGTCCCCCCTCCATGTCCCTGTGACCGCCCTCCTGTCCCCCTCCCCGACCCCATGACCCCTACGCCCCCCAGACACTGGGGTCACCCCATGTGTGTGTGTCCCCATGTCCCCGATGTCCACCGTGTCCACCATGTTCCCCATTGTCCCCCATGTCCCTGCTGTCCCCCATGTCCTGAATGTCCCTGATGTCCCCCTTGTTCTCATGTCCCCCATGTCCCCAGCATCCCCAGATGTCCCCCATGTCCCTGCTGTCCCCCGTGTCCTGAATGTCCCCGATATCCCTGCTGTCCCGGCTGTCCCCCTTGTCCCCATGTCCACCATGTTCCCCATTGTCCCCCATGTCCCTGCTGTCCCCCTTGTTCCCATGTCCCCCATGTCCCCAGCATCCCCAGATGTCCCCCATGTCTCTGCTGTCCCCCACATCCCGAATGTCCCTGATATCCCTGCTGTCCCCCATGTCCCTCTGTCCCCCATCTCTTGGATGTCCCGGATGTCCTGGTTGTCCCTCATGTCCTCAATGTCCCCCATGTCCCCGCTGTCCCTGCTGCCTCAATCCCCCCCCCCCCCGCCATGTTCCCCCAGACCACCGTGTACCCCATGTCCCCTGCTTGTCATATTCCCCCCAAGGTCCCTGTCCCCCCTCCATGTCCCTGTGACCGCCCTCCTGTCCCCCCCCCCCCCCCCCCCACCCCCCCCCCCCCCCCCCACCCGGG